CTCTCTCTCTCTCTCTCTCTCTCTCTCTCTCTCTCTCTCTCTCTCTCTCTCTCTCTCTCTCTCACACACACACACACACACACACACTTATTCTGGTACCAGAAATTGAACCTAGAGCCTTGTACATTCTAGGCAGGTGCTAAATTATGAGTGGTATCCCCCAGTCTCCTTTTACTTTTTGCCCTGAGATAGTCTTACTAAGATAGTCTTACTGGCTTTGAACTTCCTCTGTAGGCTGAACAGGCCTTGAATTTGCAATCCTACCAGGTCAGCCTCTCAAGTAGCTGGGATTACAAACCAACACCATCAGGCCTGGACTAAACTGTAAATCATTATACCAGGATAAACATAGACTGTAGCGAACCAGCTTTGCCTGAAGTTATTGGAAATGTATTCATATTTTAGAATCCCAAGGGCAGTTTTAAGCAGATAATTATTGTGTTCTTAGAAAAAGGAATAAAACTGAGCAAAGCAGCAAAGAAAGGTTTGGCCTAGGTTATGTCTAAGGGAGATAAATCTTCCAGGACCTCAAATCCTGGCATCTAATCGCTAGCCACAGTCTTTTTCTTAAGAATTTCCGAGATAAGAAGTAGCCAGGCATTCATGTTTGCTGAGAAACTAGATTGGAACCACAGCCACCTGGGGCTGAAGGAGGAGGGTCTTTGTCACTTGGAAATATTTACAGAGAATTCCGAGAGAACACAGGGCGTCTCCCATGTTTACACACAGTCGGCTGTCTGTGAATATTTCTTCCAGAGACTTCCACAGCTTCTCCCTAACTCTCCAAGACTCTAGACCTCATCTCTGCTACACTTCAGCTCTCACAAGCGTCTTTGCTAGTCCGAGAGGAAGACAGCAAAGCAGACCCAAAAGGTCTGGGCAAATGAAGCAGCCGCTTTATCCTCTTCTGCCATCTGAGCGTACAACTCCCAAGGGAAACTTTTTTTGACCTTCCAAAATCAGGGAATAAATTTTGCTTCACAACATGCAAGTCAAAATGTACACCAGTAATAGAATATTCTAGGGACAGACTGGCCACAGTGGAATGGGTAACTCTCACAAACTGAGTAAAGGAAACCAGGTGCACACCTTTAATCCCAGCACCCAGGAGGCAGAGGCAGGCAGATCTCTGTGAGCCAGCCTGGTCTACATATTGAGTTCCAGGACAGCCAGGGCTACAAAGTGAAACCCTGTCTTAAGAAAATGAACAAAAGAAAAGAGACCAAGCAGAAAAGGATGAACGCTATGTGATTTTTTTTTTTTTACATAAAATCCAGAAAAGGGGCTGGAGAGATGAATCAGCCATTGAGAGCACCAACTGCTCTTCTAAAGGACCTGGGTTCAATCCCAGCACCCACATGGCTGTTCACAACTGCCTGTAACTCCAGTTCCAGATGATCTTACACCCTTACCCAGATATACATACGGACAAAACACCAATGCACATGAAATAAAATAAATAAGTTACTTTTTAAAAATCCAGAAATAGGAAAAGGAATGCGGATGAAGACTCTGACCTGGGGATTTTCTGGGGTGCTGACAGTTTTATATTCTTTGACTCTGGGTACTGGTTACACAACAGTGTTGTTCTTTGTTTTAAAAAAATTCACTAAATCATAATACACTGTATGTATAGTTTCTGTAGATTTCATTTTATCTGAAACCTTTTTAAAAAATGATTTGTGGAAAGTCAGTGACTTACCCCAATGAGTCACTATTGCTTGATCCTGCTTGCTTATCACTTAGCCCTTTCTGCATTTAGTGATTGATGGCAAGCAGTAACCCTACAAGACTCTTTGGAACTTTACATAATGATATTCCCGATAAGCATAACCAGGGACTTGTCATTTTGAAGCCTAGTGACTTCCAGATGTCTGTAATATTAATTTGGGTGCTGATAACAGCTTGTTGTTATGGACTTCTCAAGAATGGATCGTTCTTGCCAGGATCATGTGAGCCAGCAACTAAACCACATCCTTTGTGAGGCTGAACCAGGAAGGGCCATGTTCTTCTACGGCATGATCACCAATGTGACCCTGGGCTGGCATGGGCAATCCATTCTTCTATATTTTAGTGAAGCTATTTTAGTCTTGCCTTCAACTTCAGTTTATGTAACATCTTAGCAGGCATCCTATGAAATGGAAACAGAAAATTATAGCTGTGCACTGTTGAGTCTGGCAGAAGGATTTAAGTCCTTGTGGATTTCTGCTGTGCACTAGAGACACCGTCTAGTTTCTTTTTTCCTCAGTTTCTTTCCACATTTGCAAATGGCATCAATAATTTTTGTTCTGGCTAAATCATTGCTTATTTATTTATTTATTTATTTATTTATTTATTTATTTATTTTATTCGGGGCAGGGTTTCCCTGGGTAGCCTTGGCAATCCTGAAACTCACTCTGTAGACCAAACTGACCTGAACTCATAGAGATCCGCCTGGCTCTGCCTCCCGAGTGCTAGGGTTAAAGGTGTGCGCCATCATGGCCACCACTGTCCAGTTGTCAAAGTTATTTTTAAAGCCAGTTTTAAAAATTGTCCTGAATTATTTCGAGTAGCAGGAGGAGGGATGGGAAGACTTTACAAGCCGGAGGTCCAGGAGAGCTGGATGGAAGCAGTGTCTGCTGGGCATGACAGGAGGTGACCCTCAAGAACTCACAGCAGCTACGGTTGTCTGCACAAGGTCTTCACCAGATCAAGCCAGCCAGCCTTCCAGCACGACTGGGAAGGGACTCACGTGCCCCATGCTTAACTGATGGTTTCCGAGGGAGGGAGAGTCAGTTTGCTTTGAGAGTGCTGCTCTTGGTAGTTGACCACACTCCAGTAGACAGCTCACACCCAGAACACACTTGGGAAGTGCAAACTGGAGTGGATGGGTTATTAGATTTTCCAAAGAGAAAAGAGGACAGAAAGTTGGATCAAGAGGGAGGTGAGGCTGGATCTCAGAGTGTTAGGGGCCATTTCAGGCCTCTCCTTTCTCACAGGGCCTTGAAGTAAAAACCTTGAGACAGAAAACTTAAAGTTAACTAAAACAGTGTGTGCTAATCTTAGAGACTCAAGGTCCGGAAAGCACCACAGAGTGCCCCCATTATTCCTTGCTTATCGCTAGCAGCAGGTGTTCTAGCCACTGACCCTGCAACTACTCTGCTTGGCTGCCTAGCTTCTGAGTCCCTCCTTCCCTCCCCCTGCCCGATTCCTCACTGGAGGACTATATAAGACAAAAAGCTTGTTTCAATAAACGGATACCTTGACAAATTGAGAACAGAATCCTGTTTGACTTGCTTGGTCTTCTTTCCCTCTCCCGCCCGTGTCTTTTTCAGATAGCGCCTCTTTGGGACCCTGGAATAACTGGACCTGCTGGGTGGGTACATCAGAGGAGGAAGGAAGGAGGGGTAAAAATGATAAAAATACATTTAGGAAGTTCTCAAAGGATTGGTAAAATATTAAAAAAGAAAGGAAAAATACCCCCTCTTACTCTACCTTTTCTCTCCTCCCAGACACTGTTCCCCAGGGCAGGCCCTTTGGACTCTTGGCTGGCTTCATGGCTACATCTGTGCGTCTCATGCGTGTGCACAGTTCACATTTCTGAAACTGCGTACACTGAGTGCCAAAATAATAGCAAAGTCATGAAGTTGAATTCATAAATGAAGAGCCCTTCTGTTTTGAAAGTCCGATGTTCAAGGCCAGGCGGTGGTGACGCACCCCTTTAATCCCAGCACTCGGGAGGCAGAGGCAGGCGGATCTCTGGGAATTCGAGGCCAGCTTGGTCTACAAGAGCTAGTTCCGGGACCGGCACCAAAGCTACAGAGAAACCCTGTCTTGAAAAACCAAAAATAAATAAATAAATAAATAAATAAATAAATAAATAAAGTCTGATGTTCAAAGTAGCAGGACTTCTGGTTAGCCAGTGTTCTGCTGAGAAGCCCACTTCCATTCTAAAGCTGGCTTGAGTCATCAACAGGGCCAGCATCCCACAGAGCAGCCACTGGATCTAGGAACTTCAGCAGCAATGGTCTTATTCTCTCTCTCTCTCTCTCTCTCTCTCTCTCTCTCTCTCTCTCTCTCACACACACACACACACACACACACACACACCCTCCAAGAAGCACAGACTGTCTTAGTCACAGCACAATGCTGCAGTTTACACGCGTATAACTGTTACAAGGAGGCTGAGGATTATAGCTCCCAAATGTGACTCTCCTAAAACCTGCCAGTCAGCCCTCCCTTTCTCAGAAGCAGATACCATGTCGGGTGAGGGCCCCTGCGTGCGTGCGTGAACAGAAGGAGCTGAGTGAGAGTCTGGGAGAGCCTCAAGCCCCTGCTCAGCCAGCTCTCCACTCAGCAGGTGGGAGTCAGTGAGGCGCCGTCCTCCAGCCGGACTCCTGGCTCTGAGGGAACAGCCCCTGTTCATTAACTTTGAGTCATCTTCTAGCAAACATAAAGGTTCCTTTCTGCACAGCCGGAACTTCCAGGTCAAAAGTCAAGACAGTCTGCGGAGTCTATTTATTTCTCCTAAACCAGCACTTTGTTCCTCACCAAATCCTGAAGCTCACTGAATACTGCAAACACTTCGCAGTTTGTCTGTGTTTATTTCTTTGAAACATGAAACAATTTTATGCAAGGGAAATAGCATCGAATATACTTGCCCATCAAATCAGATGGCCAAGGCTGTCTTGCTTAGCCAGAAAACAAGGCTTTGCATACATTAAACATCACCTCTTCAAATGCTTCTGCCAGAAGGACCACCCTGAGTCGTATCTGGTACGCAAGATCTGTTCTCCAGGCCTCCAACCACAGGAAGTGACCTGGAGTGCCCTGCTGACCTCCGATGATCTAAGAGCTGGTTACAATGGTTAAGAGCATTCGCCGCTCTTCCAGAGGACATGGGTTCAGTTCCCAGCATCCACATGACAGCTCACAACCATCTGTAACTTCAGCTCCACGGGGTCTGATATCCTCTACTGGACTTCAAGGCACTACACGGCGCACAGACACACCTGCAGGCAAAACACCCCTACTTGTGAGATGAAAATACACGCAATATTTTTATTTAAAAAAAAAAAAAGGAAGAGGAGGACATGTTTTGGTAGGAAGCAGAAAACACTATAGACTTTGATTCTGCCAGCTACTAGGCATTAGAATCAAGAAAAGCAAGCCAGTAAGAAGATGCAGTGGGTAAAGATACTTGCTATGAAACCTGATGACCTGAGTTCGGTCCTGGGGACCCACAGAGTAGAAGAGAACCGATTCCTACAAGTTGTCCTCTGACCTCCTCACACTCTGCAGGGATGTGTACGCCCCTCCGATAAATAAATGTCATCCAAAATTAAAAGAAAAAATGTCACAGCAAATAACCCTGACCTTAGGGCGGTTCCAGCTCACCTGGCGGCGTTCATGGGCAGATGGAAGTTCTGCCCCTGTGTGGGAGGTGCTGAAGGCGCCTGTACTCACACTTTCTGAGAGCAGAAAAGTCCAGGGTCAGAGCCATTAACCCCGACAATCTCTCGGGGGCTTTTGCTCTGTCTTCCTCTTACAGTTGAATGCTTTATGGTTGTTTTTTTTTTTTTTTTCCCCTGTATAGAATTCATTGGGAGTTGGTTTCGTCCATTTTCTCTTTTTAAAAAGAATTCTCTCATGGAAAACCTGCTTTGTGAGTCAGTCTTAAGCCAAGCAGGTGGAACTGACTGGCTGCTTTGTTCCACCTTGAAAGTATTTGAAACCGCTCGCCGACTGAGGAAATGGTATTTTCTTAACACGTCACGGCTCATTTCTTCCAGTCTCTTTATGGAAAACCGGACTGTGAAGGCCTCGAGGTAACCTAATTTAACCTGCAGAAGCCGTCGGGATCCAGGCAGTGGGCTGCTGAAGGATTAAATGAGACGTCCAAATGTCCTCTCCGGAGAGGAGAGTGGACCACAAGGCAATGGAAGCGTTTCAAGAAACTCCTACGGCGCAGTGTGGCACCATCATAATCGGAGATGCCGAGGCTCATCTTTCGTACCCGGTGCCGCTCTTGGAGCTTAGCGGCCTAGTTCCCGTTGCTGCGGTAGGATAATGGCTGCTACTTAAAACAGTCAAAGGATCACGAGCTCCGCCTGCCAAGCATGAAACAGAAGCCCACTTGTGCAGCTCTTTTTTGGTCATCCTGCTTCTGTTCCGGAATAATCGGGAATAATCGGCTTAATGAGAAGAGTGGGCAGGACCCCTCCCCTCCCCTGCCAAGCAGCTTCCATCCCTCACCTCCAACCTCACATCCCATTGTTCCCCTTCCCTCCTAGAGATAGTTCCCAGCAGAGGCATGTCCCCAGTTTACCCCAGAAGGGCTCCCCTCCCCGCTTTGGGTAAGGCATCCAAGTAATGCTAAGAACCAGAGTTCTGATTGATAGGATGGCATTCCTCCCTAATGAGAAGGGGGAGCTTTGGGCTTGTGGCTCCCACTGATGAATTAACGCTGTCACTAAGCAACCACTCCTAACTGCAGTCCAGATCTAGCAAGATGAGAAAGAATGAGGCCACTGATTTTCCCAGTCTTTGCTCGTTACCCATTATGGCTTTGTCTGAGCAGACTGTGAATATACAAAAGTGTCCCCCAAATATACCGTAAGGGGACTGACTCAAAACAGAGTGAGAGAAGATAACAATGGCCTTAAAGGGGGTGAATTCCCTTCCTGTAACTCTAGAAAATTGCTCAAGAGGGCAAACGGGTGTGAGGGGCCCACCAGACATAGTGTGGTTTCATTCCATGTACACTGTATAACAGTCCTGGACAGTAGATTGGTTTTGTTTACAGATATCAGACACAAAATTCGGAGAGGTGGTCAGGAAAATAAACAGCTGAGTCAAGCCTGGGCCCTGGCTCTCTGTGGTGTAAACCTCCCCTTCCACTGTGGAAGCTGCCAGATTTCTGTCCTATGAAGGAAGTGAGCTGGCTAGCTGCACAAGCAGCAGAGTCTATTAATAACTAAATATTTGCTAATTTGAAAAGCCAGTCAAATTGCTCACCAGGTAATCATGATTTGATTTCTTCCTGGACAAAGCAACTTAACGTAAAAGGTGTGCTCCTGTGGTGTTTATGGTATGTGCTGAGCGTGTCTGGCCCAACACAGAAAGGATAGAGAGAAGGAAGTCACATCTTCCTAGTAGCAAGAGAACTGCATTCTCTCGATTCCTTTAACGACCCCGCTCCCCATTTCCAGCAGACAGCACCGTGTACCTCCTTTGCTGCCTAGAAACCACTTCTCTTCCTCAAAGATGCTTCTCAAGAAAGTCATGGATCTTCCTGGCTGTCCACTGCTCCCCTCTGAGAGCGCCCTGTGTGGTCTGGAAGCCACCACTCAGACAGTCATTCATTGGCAGAAGTTGTGTGGATAGAGCATCATTAGCTAGAGACGCATTAAGGGTTGCAGCAACTGTCCGAGTCGATTCGCACAGAATGTAAATCTGTCTTTGGACAACCTGGGACGACTCTGCAGGGCCAGAGCTTCCTTTGGCATTCCCGAGGCTGTCATTAGGCCTGTGCCACAGCTTAACATCCTGCTCATCCTGCTTCCTCCTACCTCCCACAGCACCGATCTCAAGGACAGCCTGGGTGCTCACCAACCCTTCCTCGGATTCTGCTTCCTATGGAGCCTAAAGGGCTACATTGCCACATAGATCTTCTCTGTACCTGCCTTGCCTCTTAGAATGTGAACTCCATAGGGGAAGAAGCATCCTATTTGTTCAGTAACTTGAGCTTGACATGACATGGCCCAGTTGTCATTGTATCTGTAAACGATGCCTCGGTATCTTGTGGATCCTACTAGTGCAATGCCATGAGAAGCTGGGGGAAGACTCTGTGCCAGCAGCACCCCCAATGTGTGGCCAGAAGTAATGGTTCCAGAATGCGAGGACCCTGTATGCTGAAGCTACTTCCAAATATAGATTACTTTTCTTTTAGTTTATTTCAGTTTTAACCCAATTTTTAAAATGTTGTGTCAGGTTTGAGAATATCACTTGCGTACCTAGCTAGGTGAACCCCAGGGACAAACTTGTCAGCAGCCATATTGCTTTCCTAGATGGAGGACATGTCGTAGAGAGTTGGTGCAGAGAGATTACAAGCTGAGGCACTTGGAAAGCCCAAAATTCATGCCCTGAAACCATTTCAGAGGCATTGCATTCTTCTCTCCAAGGAAGGGATAAAGTTACACCCACGGGAAAAGAAGGAAAGAGCACTACCTATAGGATTCCAGTATCCCTTGGCACCTGTGGGCCTCATGTCCTTTCCTGAACGGCTTTGATATTATTATGGCATAGTCTTTTGTATTATTGGCCAGTTACACCCAGGATCCTGCCTAGGTCCAGTGAGAAGTGTGGTCAGAGCTCATTGGTGGCCTTCTTTGTAGAATGGAACCCTTACTCTAAAGGAACACTGAGAACAAGACTCCTCCCCACACAGAGGGTGTGCCGCCTCTCTTGACTCATGTCATAGCAAACTGAGTGGTCCCCTCTTATGTGATGTAGACCTTCCTGTTTGTGCAGCCAGCTGTGTTTGCATGAATACCACCGTCTAAACATTACTGGTGAGCACAAGCTGACTCTTAAGGTAAACAGAAGGCAATACTAGTTTTGAGATTCTCAAAGTTCCTTATCTTCTACTTTCTAGTTATGACCCTTCCCTTCCAGGCATGGCTTGCTTACTCATATGTAATGGACAATTCTGGAATCTCTGTAAACAGTAAACGTTAACTTAATTTAGCAGTCAGAATGTCCAGTCCCAGAGAGCAACCAAACCTCTGAACCTGGGAAGATGGAGAATGTTTTGTCCTTCCAGCTGGAAGCTAGCCCTGGAGAACTGGGCGGTGGTCAGGCTGGCTTCTTCTCAGGGAATGACGAAGGAAGGCGGAGGGAAGGAAAATCTCACTGCAGTTGGAAGTCATACCCTAGTGCCCCATACTCTGGCTCTTGATGTCTTGGGGGCGCTTTGGTAGACTCATAACCGAGTAGTCCCCTCCACGGTGGTTTTGGTTCCAGTTTAGGGAAGCTCTGCTTGGAGGTAGCTGTCATTTCTTCTTCTGTCACCAGGGTGTGTAGCCAACTTTTGCAGCTAGGATCTCTTAGACACACCCAGTGACCTTTAGGACACAATCCATGGTAATCCAGCCCATCTGTCCCCGAAGTCCACTGACAGCGCTACTTAGCCCTCCTCCCCAGCGGGCTTGCAGTGCTGGGCAGCACAGCCACACATCAGCAGCTTCCAAACCAAGTGGTCGGCCAAGCTCTCCCTCTGTGTACCCTGGAGAAAAGTAACAGGAAAATGGCCACAGGACACCTTGGAAAAAGACAACAAAAGTCACGAAAGAGCAGAGAGGGCATAAGGAAAAGTCAATGGGTTAGACCCTGGCCCCCAAATGTTGGACTCATAAACAACACCCTTTGGAGAGGGGGATGCATTCAGCATGAGTGGGCACTGTGTGACACTGTCCATCTAAGGCCACTCCCGAGAATTTTCTTACCTCCCCAGGCTCTAGGCTCTTTAGTCTCCTGAGTGGTGAGCAGGCCCTAGTCCTAAGATGTGGTTTCTGAAGTCGCCTTGGAAACATACCTGGAAATGTCACTGCCCTGAAGAGTCACAGACAGACTGAGTCTGGTGCCCAGTCAGAGCGTTGGTGTAATGCTTGGTGCAGTTGATGGATTTTGTTTGTGGCTCCGGGTGCTGATGTGCACATCCCCGTAACTTCTAGCCACTTAAGGCAAAACCACACAGCTCAGTGTGTATTTACCTAGGAGGGAAAATCAGAACGAGGCCAGACTCCCAGACCCAGCTGTGAGGCAGAAGCATATTTCCTATGCTGCTCACACAACTTGAGGACCAGAGGAGAGGAAGCTCATGACCACTGCCCTCTCTTCTGGGGAGTGAAGAGGAAGAGGCCCAGGAAAGGGTTCTTATGCCACTTTGGAGGGCAGCAGGAATAAAAGCAGGATAAATAGCCGAGAAATTTTCCTATCTCCCCCCTTCACTTCTCTCTCTCTCCCTCCACCCCTCTCCCATCTTTCCCGCTTCCTGTGTCCATGCTCACATACATGTAGAAGCCAAAAGACAATGTCTGGTGTTGTTCTTTAGGCACTATCCACATTTTATTTCATGTTTTGAGATGGGAGGGGGTTTCTCACCCACCTGAAACTCACCAAATAAGACTGTGCTCAATGGCCAGTGAGTCCCAGGAACCATCACCCCAGGTCTGAGAGTTTCACTTGCCTCCATGTCCAATTTTATTTTCTGGTGGTTTGTTTTTTGTTGCTGCTTGTTTTAGTCTGTGTTCTGGGGAATAAAATCTGTCATTATGCTTGAGACACAAGTATGTACTAATTGAGTGATCTTCTTAGCCTTTAAAAAGGTTTTGTTTTTTAGTTTTTCAAAAGTTTATTTGATGTGTGTACCTGTGTGTGATGTATATATGTGTGCATTATGTAATATTTGTCTGTGCATGTGTGTGACGCATATGTGTGAGGTTTGTGTGTGCATGTGTGTGCATGTGGGTGATGTGTGGATGCATGTGTATGTGATGTATGTGTGTGATGTATGTGCACATATGTACAGTCAGTGCATGTGGCGGTCAGAGGACAACTTCCTACAGTCTGTTCTTGTTTTCCACCTGTTCAAGGAGAGGTTTGCCTTGTTTCTGCCTTTTACATATTCCAGGCCAACCAGCTCTGAGCCTCCAGTGATTCTCCTGTCTCCATCCCTCACGTCCTGAAGGTGGCTGGGACTCCAGACAGGCATGCTGGGGATGGAACCCAGGCCATCGGGCTCGCACAGGAAGCATTTTTACCCACAGAGCCAGTGTTCCGGCCCCTGTTTTGTTTTTTGAGACAGTTTTACTCTACAGCTCAGGCTGGTCTCAAGCTCATAAAAATTCTCCTGCCCTCAATTTCTAAGTCATGGGATTACAAAGGTGTGGGCAGGCATTTTTCTCTTCCTTCCCTCCTTCCTTTCTTCCCTCCCTCCTTCCCTCCCTCCCTCCCTTCTTCCCGCCCTCTTCCTCCTCTTTCTTCTTTTCTTGCATATGCTAGACGAGTGCTTTACCTCTCAACTTCATTTCCACCCTCTGCAGAGAAATACTTCTGCAATCCCAGGCTTGTGTGCTCTCATTGGGTGACCAAGGTTATGAACTCCAGAGCCAGGCCAACCTGGACGTGGATCCAGCATTCTGTCGGAGGAGCTGTGTCACCTTGGGCAGACATTTCACTTCCTTGGACCTCCTTGAACCTCAGGTTTCCTTCAGCACAGCAAGAGGTTGTGACCTTACAGTGTACACCTGTCGCAATCACATGGGTCCTTAGACATAAAGGGACTCTATGCAGTGACTGGCATTTAGCAAACTGTCCGTAAGAAACAAAACTTCTCACTTCAACCCCACCAGCTGTTCGTCTTCCAGTCCTACTAGGACAGGAACTCGGAAGGGCACACGCGCTGAAGGACCCGGGTCAAAATTCCAGCTAAACCGCTCAAGCTGAGCAGCAAAAGAGGTAGATACTGATACACCTGGTGTTTTAGTGCCTCAAGGTGAGGACTTGTAGAGGCTTTGTGAAGAATGCTCTGACGTCAGTGGTTTCTTAGAAAGAACTCAGGGGTGAGAAAAGTCTCTCTCTGACTTAGATGTGGATGCCTGTGACAGAAAGTGTAGTTTTCTGTCATAGGAAAAAAGTTTGGCCACAAAAGTTCCAGAGCTTGCAAGGTATTGGATGATGACAGCTCCACACATGCGCAATCAGTCTGTCTCCACACATGCGCACAGGGTCTCCCTGAGCTCCAAAGGCTCCAAACTCACGACTTGGCCTCAGGGTCTCTCTGCTCTTTCTTGCTCACACTCGGGCTCTCTTTGGGGGTCACTATTCCTACTACTCTTCAAAACCAAGTTCAAATGCTTCCTCTTTCCTGACTGTTCCCTAACCTCCTGTTCTGCCCTTACCTCACTTTGCCACTTCCAGGCCGTTCTCAGAGTGACCTGTGTGACCTTCCGTGCTCCATTCCTCTCTGCAGCCTTCAAGCCCTGTCTGAGGTCTTACCTGGAGCGGAAGGTCACTAAATCGTAGCTGAACTCAAGTGGAGGGACCTCAAGTCCTCCATCCTTAAAGAAACCACAAGGCAGGAAGCTGGGCGGAAGCGAACATTGTACTGCTAGCGATTTCAACACTGACTTCAACAGTTTTCCTGTCTGCTCTGCCCTGCAGGCATCCAGGCCAATGTCTGTCCACTAAAGCCAGGTGGCAGTAAAAATTTGGCATGTTAGCCCGTCTGTCAGGCTCCCTGTGAAGCAAACAGAACTGCGGTAAAGCCGGTCGGAGACACACAGCCAGTCACCACATCTCAGCGTGGACGGTGGATGAAGCTTCCATCCTACATCCTGATCCTTTTTTCCCCGCTGGTGGAGGAGGTGAGTGTCCAGCTGCAAAGAAGACCCTAACAGAATCTGTGAGGTTTTTACTGAACACCTACGGCAGAGGCTGCCAGTTGTTTGGGCCGGTAGCCGTCTTCCACTCCCTCGGTATTAGAGATCCCGGTGAGGTAATGGAAATTCTGCCCATTTCCCCTTGCGGCTAGGTCTAGCTCCATGACTTTTAGAATACGAGCACTGGTCCATGGGCCCTGAGTAGAAGCGCTACTAGTTAGCGATCTTTTGCACCAGGCAGAAAAAAAAAAAAAAAAAAAAAAAAAAAAAAAAAAA